GGATTCTGAATTTTTACTGAAATGGAATTATCTGAGAACCTTACAGATTTTATCTTCACAGAGTAAGGGGAGAGAACTGTGGAGACACCAGGGTTCCCACCCCTAACAGAGTTTTAGAATGCTGAGAGTTGGTGTCTGTTAGCTCGCTGCTCAGCCGATCTCCAAGATTGCCCCCTGGAGTTGCACCTGGCTGTTTAAGACATACATGGTGAAGCAGGTAGTCTTGAAACAGTCAGCTGCTGAGGTCTTGGTCTGGACTTCCTGTGGTAGAAATGCAGAAAAGTAAAAGGAATTGGTTTTTCATTTCTTTGGTCCTGAGGCTCCCAATTCTTTGCAATTGAGGTCTCAGGCTGGGGCATGGGGCTGCTGACTGGTACCTACAAGCTGCCTAAAAACCTAAAAGGTGCCTCTTTCCTCTCTCTAAGGGAGTCAGGTGCCCTGCTGAAATGCCCATAGGCAGGGAGGGAAGGGGTCCCAATGGTTCTTCCAAATTCTTCCTATCCGTAGCAGGATCTTCCAGGATTCCAAGGTGGGAAGACTTAGAGTTAAGACATGGGCCCTAAAGACATCCCCAGATCTGATGTTTCCTAGCTCTGTGACCTTAGGCAATTCATTGCATCTCTGAGCCTCAGTTTCCTCATCTGTAGAAGAGACATTAACGGTACCTCTCTTAGGATATTGTAAGAATTAAATGCTATAAAGTAAATCAACTGTTTTAGTAGAGTGCCTGGCACATAGAAAAATCTTAAACTATTATTACTATTGGACAAAGGACAGAACTGGTGAGACCAGAAGTTACCGTTCCAAGATCATTCACTGAGGTTGCTATTGATGTACTGGGTACTTAATTCTGCATGGGTGTTCTCATGGTGATTTTCTGTTTGCACCTCAGGAGATGAGTGGTGCGTATATTCAACATTAGCTCAATAGATTGGTTTGGTCTTTCAGTCACATGGTCTGGAAAAAAATATGTAGCAAGAGCTATAAATTGTTGCATCCTTTCACTTTGGGAACTATACCTCAAGGAAATAATCCTAAATTGCTTTTTATATAAATTAGTTTTAAAAAATAAAAAGCCAGACAGTAAGTAAACAGTAAGACAGTAGCTAAATAATCTGCAACATGTTAATCATTGAGTATGACCTAACCATTTAAAAAGGAAAATATACAGGAATTAGATATATATATATATATATATGTAGAGAGGGAGAATAATGTTAATTGGCAAAGAATAGTCCCAAAATATCAATTGATTACAATATTATTAATACAGCTATGTACATGGACAAAGATTGAGGAAATTTAAAGGGAAATGGTCTTTTTCTCTAAAATTGCTTAAGTCTATAAAATATTTTAACAATGAATGAGGACTACAATGTACTATAAACTCTTTCTAGGCTGGGCACGTGGATTTCGAATAATTATGGGCATCTACCTAAGGCAGTCCCTTGACCAAAACAAAGAAAGATGTGATTAAGCCACAGTAGGTGAGGCTTGTATCAGAATGATTGTGATGTAAATCAGGAAAGCTTTACTCAGAGAAATTCCACCTGCACAGCAACGTCTTTTTATAAGAAATCAAGACCCTACCTTCTCCCATCACCACCCATCCACCTTTCACCAAGACGAAACTGTGTAAATCATCTACAGGCCAGTCTTCACAGGCTGGAGAAGCACAGATTGAATGGGAATGGGATCTTTCTGTAAGATCTACTCTGTCTGCCCTACTGGGCACATTTCAAAAGCAGAGCCGCAGCTCACCTCCAGAGGGAAGCTGGGACCACTCTGACTAGATTGGTTCCTCCACTTTAAATTCTTCCATAGCCTTTCTCACCCACACCAGCAGGGGGCGAGCTTGTTCCCACAGCTCGGGGCTTGTGGGGTCCCTTGAAATAGTGATAGATTGAATTCCATCAGAACAAGAAGCAGTTTCACAAGTAGGAAATACTGCTTTAGCCTATTTGTTGCAATACAAAATCACACAAACAAATGAAAAAACACAGCGAGGGCAAAGGGCTGTCTTCAGGTTTCAGTGAATGTTCTTTCACATGCAACTTATTCTTTCAATTTGTCCTTTAGACCCATTCATGCGTCTAAAATATAAAGCCAAGAAGAAAGCTTATCCATTGATATCATTTTTTCTTTAAGTTTAGCGGTGGAATGTCATTTATGGCACCCTTCCTTGTGATTTATCTTTAATTGTTTACTTGTGTAATTTTTAACCCCTAGTTTAGTGAAATAAAATTTATCTTCATTATTCAGGCTTGTCTCCCACCTACACTGAGGAATATTGTACATCCTCCCTGCCCCACCAGCTTTGAGCAAGCGATAGCAAGCGAGGGAATGAAGACTACAGGGAAATCTACAAAAGTAGTGGTAAAAATCAACTTATTTTCATGCTGGAAATAGCTGTCAAAAAAAAAAAAAGTTGCTAAACAAGAAATTTCTGAAGGGCAGAAAGAAGAACTATGGATTTGAAGTGAGGAGACTTGGTTCGAGTCCTAGCAATGGTGCCAACTAGCTTTGCCCCAAGGGCTGGCAACTGATAACTTCCTCTTTCGGGAGATCAGACTGGTTGACTTTTAAGATCCAGTTCTAACCTTCAGTGATTCTAATTCTGCATTTTCTAATTTCCCGGCATCAAATCTTGTTCACGAACACCCTGTTTCCTGCCTTCCTGAGAGGCGGCTGGGCCCATGTACGCAGCACAGAGGCCTTGATCCTTGAGTAGCCGTTGGCCCCGACCTTGGCGATCCCCTCACCTCTCTGGGTCTCCTTTGGCCAGTCAGCCGTGAGGAGGACGGAGACGCCTGGCTGCTTCCTGCCTGTCTCACAGGGGTTGTAAAGGCCAGTACAATTTTACAATGGAGGAATTCCTCCAAGGAAGAGCCTGCCTGAGTAAAATATTTCAATACTTCTGCTGTAATTATTGCTATAACATCCAGGCATCATGAGAAATGAGAAGGAGCAGATATAAGTACCCCTTGTATTTCTGGTGATGGAGTGAAATGAGGCCTTAGAAACCATCTAGGGACCCACTTCATTTACAGATAAAGAAACGGAAACCAAGGAAGTTTAAGTGGTGAACTCAAGGCCACAAGCCTAATACTGTATATGGTGTGGTTGGAGCTGGAGGCCGGGGCTCCTGGCTCCCAGCCCAGTGTTCTCTCTACAGCATCGAAACAGAGGGCCTGGAACGAGCTCTTGGTTTTCAAAACCTTCAGTGGGAGGGCTTCTGGGAACTAAGCGTGTATGCAAGGTCTACTCTGATTCAGTGAAGAAAAATTGCCCCGTAAAGTTATTCTCTGTAGGCAACATATGAACACTGGTCAGGCAAAAATACCCAGCAATAGATGATCCTCAAAAATCTACTTTTTCCCCAATTCCCATTGCATCAGGAGACTAGAATCAGTCTGCTCAGAGACAGACTGGTGGCCCATTGGTATGAGGGAGCACAGAGGAACCCCAAACTCCCCTCCAGGTAGCCAAGAGTAGGCTGGCTTGCTTCTCCCAGGTCAGGGTGCCCGCAACAGAAACCAGAAATGCTGCTTGAACGAGACACCTGAGCACAGCTTCAGGCTGGAGGAGAACGTGATCTTTGCCTGACCTTTTTCATTATCACATTCAACCTGGATTTCTAAATTTGTGATCTCTAGTTCCTGCCATCAGGACATTTGTTATAATTTCATTCATTTATTCAACACATATTCATTCAGCACTAGTGTGTTTTATTTTTTGTTTTTTTTTAGGAGATAGGGTCTCGCTCTGTCACCCAGGCTAGAGTGCAGTGGCACAATCATAGCTCACTGCAGCCTCCAACTCCTGGATTGAAAGATTCTCCTGCCTCAGTCTCCTGAGTAGCTAGGACTACAGGTGTGCACCACCACGCCCAGCTAATATTTTTTAAATTATCTTTTGTAGAGACAGGGTCTCTCTATGTTGCCCAGGCTGGTCTTGAACTTCTAGTCTCAAGTAATCCTCCCACCTTGGCCTCCCAAAGGATATGAGGCACAGGAGAGCCAGACAAGACTTGGGATTTCAGTAGCCTTTGTCTTTTTAGGATTTGGAATTCCTTCCTATAATCATGTACAAAATTTGAGGGCATGTATAAATGCATGTTTTTCTGGGGTCCTTAACCTTTATCAAATCTGTTACCCTAAAACAGTTAAGAATCATCATAGTGGGTGTACACTAGAACTTTATTTCATGCATCTGCCGTCCCGGTCAGTGTCCTCATCCTGCCCATTGAGTTGAGACCACGGGGGCTGACAGAGTGTGAACAAGTAAGCCATCTCTGCCCAGAGCTCTGGGATTTTCTTTAGAGTCTCAGGAAGTCATGTCTGCCAGCCCAAGCCCATTCCCCACACTGTGGATTCTGCCTCAAGCACGATGTCCTCTGGGACAGGCTGTGGCCCTGAACTCAGTCGGCTCTGAGGAGACCACACCAGGGGTATGTCAACAGACTATGCTGTCAGTCCCAGGAAGGGACAGGTGCTGGGCCACATCCTGGCTCTCAACCCTTTCATTCAACCCTGCTACACCCTCTGATTTTAGTGTTCTTGCAAAGGGTCAGGTTGGAAAATTCCTATCCGTTCTTTTGAGAGTCCTGCCCTGCCCACTTCCCTGAGGGACCTTGTGGCCTCTGAGTCTGTCGGGAGTCACTTTGGCTATGGGTTATCACATTGTGTCAGGTGACACCTGGCATCCCTCTGCCACTCCTGTGGAAGTGGTTTTGCAGGAGGATATTAAATGCCTCCCGTGAGAACCTGGGTGTTGGTTCAGCATGCTATTTGATCCAGAAACCTAGAATATAACCACTGCTAGTTGGCGGGATAGGAGCACATGTCAAGACACATCGTCATTAGAACTGAGGCTCCAGGGATGCTGATGTTGCAAGGAAAGCATTTCTCTTGGCCTGCTGTGTGTTCAAGTGTGTATGTGTGTGAGAGACTGACTTGCTACGGATGCTGTTCTGAGTTCTCGTCTTTCTCCCCCTGTAGAGCGAAGACACGGTTCAATGTGTAGACCTTCTCCCTCTCCCGCGTCTCCAGCCTCCAATCCCAGGACATCACTAGTACAGGTGAAAACAAAAGCCTGTCTCAGCGGCCATAACTCTGCCAGCAGCACCTCAAAGCCATTCAAAACGCCCAAAGACAATCTACTTACCTCCAGCAGCAAACAGCACATAGTCTTTTCTGCGAAAGGATCAAGGGATAAACCATGGTGAGTGTTGGGTGCTGGCTGCCAGCAGCTGTCTGTCCTCACCGCTTGTTCACCCTCTGGCTTTGTTCTTGGGCGTCATATCCAAGCATTTGGAAAATGAGAAGGGAAGGGACAGAAACCCAGAATGATGGAATGATAAACCTAAGTAATAGAGGGAACACGGGACCTTGAAAGTACCCTATGCCTGGGGCCGAGGCGGGAGGATTACTTGAGGTCAGGAGTTTGAGACCAACCTCAGCAAGAGCAAGACCCCGTGTCTACTAAAAATAGAAAAAATTAGCCGGGCATGGTGGCACACATCTGTAGTCCCAGCTACTCGGGAGGCTGAGGCAGGAGGATCGCTGGAGCCCAGGAGTTTGAGGTTGCTGTGAGCTATGATGACACCATTGCACTCTAGCCTAGATGACAGAGTAAGACTCTGCCTCAAAAAAAAAAAAAAAGAACCCTATGCCTGACAGGGGATTTTTTTTTTTTATTCTCTTGAGAGCTGAGCCAAATTATGTCTAAGAAAAGGGTAACAGCCAGCCTAAACAAGAGTGAGACCCCGTCTCTACTAAAAATAGAAAGAAATTGGCCAAACAACTAAAATAGAAAAAATTAACCGGGCATGGTGGCGCGTGCCTGTAGTCCCAGCTACCCGAGAGGCTGAGGCAGGAGGATCGCTTGAGCCCAGGAGTTTGAGATTGCTGTGAGCTAGGCTGACGCCACGGCACTCACTCTAGCCCAGGCAAAAGAGTGAGACTCTGTCTCAAAAAAAAAAAAAAAAGAAAAGAAAAGGATAACAGGAAAATATTCCTCAGTTATACGGTCACCTCTCAATTTTCTGCCCCAGAGAAGAAAAGCACTGGAATAGCTGCCCCACAGGCAGGTAATCGGGCGCTGACCGCGGGAGACAGGAAGGAGAGCCCAGGCGAAGGTCACCCCTTTGACAGGGTGGGAGACAGCTGGTTATAGGTGACTGAAAAATCAGAGGCTTTTAGTTCATTTTGTTATCTCATCCTTTACCGAAAAGTCAGAAAAGGTTACCTGTGGAATGGACAGATAGGAAACTAAACTTAAAACGAGGAAGATGCGTATCTTCGAATGCTGATGGCACCCAGCTTGGAGCACTTAAGGACTGGCTTATGACAGCACCTCTAGACTTATCTTTCAAGGCTCAGGAAGGCAGAGAAGGAATAATAAGTGTGGAGTCCATCTAATTTATATATTTAAAGAGAAAACGTGTTCTGTTAATTAATGACAGTTAATTGCACTTAAGTTCGTACCTAGGAAAGCTGTGGAATAAAATGATCCATCAATGGGTTTGTCACTGCAACTGGAAATTATGATGACTTAGTAAAGAGCTAATTATGCCAGATCAATTAAAGAGCCTCTTGTGATAGCGCCGAAAGGTTCGGGCCTGGCTGTCATGGACGGGAGTCGCCTGCTGCACAGCTGGGCTCACGGACAAGCTTTGTTCTCTTCGAGTTTGTTAAAGGAGCAGCTTTCCGTTGTAGTCAGATCACCCTGACAGTAGTATAAAGGGTGGCTTGAAGGGGCTGCTCAGGAAGCAGCAAGGACAGTGAGGACGTGGTTGCCTACTCCAAGGGAGGTGATGACAGCCTGGCCCCAGGGCAGTGGTGACAGGCATGTACAGAAGGGGCAGGGTGGGACGAGTATTAAGGTTCCTGGCCAAGGGCAGGGCCCTGCAGAATTGGACAAAGGGAGGAGGAGCCTGAGGAGGCAGGACTGCTAAGCATAGCATTCTTTCTGTAGCACCCTGTCCCCTCTTTCCTGGCCAAATTTCTCACCATTCTTATTGCCCACGTCCCTGGCCACCTTCTTTTCGAAGCCCTTTCTCACTCACTTCCTCTTTGCCAACAACCTGATATGCTGTCGTCCTCCTTTTAATCCCCATAACACTGGATTTTTTACCTTGCCTGTGACACTTTCTGTCATCTGCCATGGATTTAACTTCCTGTCTTCCTCCTGCTCAGTAGTTGCTGTGGGGCCTCCTGTGCAGTAGCTTCTCCCCAACTCAACAAACATGGTACCCTTGTCAGTAAATATTTGTTGAATTGAATGAAATGGATGTGGCCATTGAAGGGAATTGTAAGATTTCCATTCCTAGAGACAGTTAACCTTTTGTCTAGAATTGTTTAACTAGCATTATCCATTGGAAATATAATGTGTGTCACACATACAACTTTAAATTTTCTAGCAGCCACAGTGAAAAAAGCAAAAAGAAACAAGTAGAATTAATTATTAATAATACAGTCATCCACTGAATAATGACATCTTGGTCAATGACGGACCACATATATGATGACAGTGGTCCCATAAGATCATGATACCATATTTTTATGTACTTTTTCCATGTTTAGATATGTTTAGAGACACAAATACTTACCACTGTGTTACAGTTACCTACAGTATTCAGGACAGTAACATGCTGTACAGGTTCATAGCCTAGGAGCAATAGGCTGTACCATCTAGCAGAGGTGTGTAGGAGGCTGTACCTGCTAGGTTTGTGGAAGTCCACTCTGTCATGTTTGCACAACAAAATCGCCTAACAACACATTTCTCAGAGTATTTCCCTATCAGTAATGATGCATGAGTATGTATTTTTTTTTCACTTAATATATCCAAAATGCTACCATTTCAACATACAATCAGTGAGATAGTTTACATTCTTTTTTTCGTACTAAGTCTTCAAAAATCCTGTGTATGTTTTACACTCACAGCACATCTCAATTTGGACACTAAATTTTCATCAGAAATACTTGATCCATTTTTAGATTTCATGAAAACTAGAGATTATAAAATAGATTCACATACCCAAGTTGTTCCAAATATAATTAAAACATTTTCTAATAACTGAATGAAGTATCTGTTTTTAAATTTTTAATGAACTAAAGTTAAATGAAATTTAAAATTCCGTTCCTCAACCACAATAGCCACATTTTAAGCGTTCAGTAGCCACAAGTGACTAGTGGTTGCTGTATCAGGCAGTGCAGTTCTAGACATATAGGCCACTGACCTGGGTGGATCCCTCTGGTTCTTTGAGTCGAAGGTGTGTTAATTGGGTTCTTCTGATCTCTTTAATGTTGTGCTAGGAGTTGCTAAAGTCCAGCCATAAGGTGGAAGGAACCCTGCTCATTTCTCACCTTGCCTGCTGCAGCTGGGTCTGTGGTGGGAACACACCTGGAGGACCTGCATCAGGCCGTGCAGAGAATCCCCTGCCAGAGTTCTGTCCCTTTGCTCCAAAGGAGCTCTGTATCGACCCCTACAGGCCAGGAAAGCATAAGCAGTGCCTGCCCATGCCAGTCCATGGCCTTCAGATTGGATTTAACAGCAGGTTAGGGGCACCCTTTCCAAATAGCTCAAATTCACACGTACAGCAACAGAAACACGACTCGGCATTCAGACCGACCTCCTGGCATTCTCATGCAAGGTTAAGTGGTCTGTGGTTTTGTTATTTTCTTCTTTCTGTGGCTGAATAGGTTAAAAAAAAAAACTCTGCATTAAAAGAAAGAGAAAAAACAGAGAGGGCCTCACCATGTTACAGCTTCGTCCCCTGCAGAACTGCCTAACAGCTGTCACAGACTTCCCAGCATCCCCAACCCCGCACCAAGGCTCTCAGAGCCCCCTCTCCCTAGGTCACTGTCCTGCCAGTGGGGACAGAGGCCAGAGAGTATCTGGCCAGCGTCCCATGGCACTAATGTCTACATAGTCCCCAGCGGTGGAGGGAGGTAGGCAAGATGATTAGGTCCCCAGGTGAGAGTCGACAGAGAATTATGGCTATTTGGCTCTTCTGAGATACGATGAGCATTTCAGCCTTTACTTGTGAGTTCCCACTTAGCCAGGGGGCCAGGCCCTGGCACAGTGAGACAGAGTCAGCCAATCTGACTTTCCCAGCTGCTGTCGCTTTGGCTACCCTGCCCAGCATGGTAAGTTGATGAGGACTCAAACCCACCAATGTAGACTGAAGTGGGCAGGAGGCAGGGAGGAGGGAGGAGGAGGTTCTCCTCCCCTGGATGGCTTGTTGCCTTCTCTTTGGGCCTTATCAACCCACACGTGTGTGTTGAATGCTAAATATGCTCAGCTATTAAAAATGCAGGAGATGAGCCTGCTGCTCCAGAAGGAAAATGAGCCAAAGCAAAAGAAAAATCAGCAGGCTCCCTGGCCTCCCTGTGCGTGCCCTGCAGCACGGTGGGGGCGGGGCTCCCTCCGCTCAGGTAGGCAGGGCTCCTCTCAGGATGCCCAGAAATGCCAGGCAGGTCCTCCCAGAGTGGCAGGGGCTGCAGGAGTAGGAATACTCTGGAAGTCTTCCCAGCACTTTATGGAGAGGGAAACAATCTCTGAGAGGCTCTGGCCAGATACCTGTAGGAGAAACATGGGTGGCTTATCTCTTCCTGCCTGGCACTGGCATGAACCAGGGGCAAGACCACAGCTCAGGACTGATGGCTCCCAGAAGACGTGGGGAGCTGTCCCAGGGGTGCCACTCAGGCTGTGGCTGAAAATCTAGCCACCCAAAGTGCTGCATACCCTCCCAGGGGCCCGCTTCCTCCAACCCAACTGCTCTCTACTCTGCTCCTCAGCAGGGTTCTCACCTCTTGTCTCTTCTCGTGCCCTTGCTCCCGTCCACCTCGTGCACCCAGCCAGACCAACGTGTGCTCTGCTCTGCTCTGCTCTTTAGTGGCCCCCGGTTGTTTGTCTACAGAGCAGAAGTTTGACCCCTTTGCAATGAACTGCAGACGGAAGGAGTAGAAAGGGCAGGTGGGTAAGAGAGGGTGGGAGCTGGACAGGCTGGAATATTCAAGCATCCAGGGGCAAGGGTAGGGGCAGGGACAGGTGGATAATGTCCCTCCCAGGACAAGGAGGCTGCAGGAACTTAATGTCTAAGTGCTGCCTGCTCCCTGGTTCTCAGATGAGCAAAGGTAAGGACAATGGACAGCTCCTTGGGTGTGCACTCAGCCAACCTTGCTAAGTCACAGAGGTGCTCAGAAGGAGGGAATCGA